TAACCGCTGAGCCAAACCGGCCAGGGCTAGGCTTTTTTTTAAAACATAAAATTAAACTTGCTCAGTCCTTTAACTGTTTATTCCAAATGATTTTTTTTTCTTTTGGTGGAGCAACACGTGGAAGTATATGGGCATCGGGTACCTGAAGTGACAAAGGCAGGATGCTGAAAGGCAGTGCTGGTTCCCCACTCTGAGGGTCTTTCCTGTACAGACTCCGGGGCTGCCTTCCTGCCTTCGGTGCCAGAAATCCGAGAGCCAGTGAGTGACTGTCTCTGACTATGTCCTATGTGCTTGATGTCGTTCTCTTTGATGCGCATGAATGAAATGTTATGAACTTCCTTTTTTCAGATGAGGAAATAGACTCTGGAATTGTTAGTAGGATTCAGCCTAGGTCTTTCTAACTCCAAGGTTTATTTATTTATTTTTTAAAAATTGATTGATGATTGATTGATTGATTGATTTTAGAGTGGAAGGGAAAGGAAGAGAGAGATAGAAACATGGATGAGAGAGAACACTGACTGACTGCCTCCTGCATGCCCCCCACTGGGGATCAGGCCCACAACCTGGGCACGTGTCCTGACTGGGAATTGAACCGGCGACCTCTTGGTGCATGAGTCGACGCTCAACCACTGAGCCACACCGGCTGGGCTAACTCCAAGGTTTAAATCATTCAAGTTCATTCCAGTACAAATTGTCCTGGCCACTAACTCTCTGTCCTGGGCCGAGCACAGTCAGAGAGAGAGAGAGAGAGAGAGAGAGAGAGAGAGGGAGAGAGAGAGGGAGAGAGAGAGAGAGGGGTCAGGACAGGTCTACTGGGCTGTAGTTGCATTGGGTTTCACGGAACCAGTCTGGGCACTCAACGGCACTCTAACCCAGCCTTGGGGTCACTGGCAGCACTTCTCCGGTTTCCGCAGGGAGACTTCAGCTTCATAACTTTCCTCTGAATTCAGACCCTGAGTATGAGCGCAATTCTTAAAAGTCCATCTCAGAAAAGGTGGGGAAGTCTGAGCTCTCACCATGACATTTTTCATACCTGATAACAAGAGGCCCGAGACAGGCAGAGCTGGGGCTTGGCCAGGGTGCTGACTGCGGCTCTGGTTCCCTGCAGACTGCATTCCGGGGCTTCAAGTGTCATTTCCCGTGCACCATGCGTGTTTGTCCTTTGCACACTCCACCTCTCTCCTTTGACCTGCTGGAGGTGGGAGGACTGAACCAAGGCCCCTTCGAGATCCAGCCTTGAGACTGCTGCAGTGCTAGGCAGCCCCCCTTTAGCATTTCCCGTAATCCCCAGCATGTGCAAAACTGCCTCCAGTTTACAGGTGTATTGGTTTCCTAAGCTGCCCTATCAAAGTATCGCAAACTGGGAGCTTAAAACAACGGAGGTTTATTCTTTCACAGTCTGGAGGTTAGAAGTCTGAAATCGAGGGGGTGTCCGTATCATTGGTCCCTTCCGGAGCTCTGAGGGAGCAACTGTCCCATGCCTCTCCCTCTGGTGGTTGCTGTCAGTCCTTGGTGCTCCTTGGTTTGTGACAGCACAACTCCAATCTCTGTCTCTCCATGGCCTCCTTCCTCTCTGTGTCTGTGTGTTTCTCGTGTCCTCTTTGTGTAAGGACACCAACACCAGCCACTGGATTTAGAGCCACTGCACGGGCTTCCTGCGTCCATGCCCTTCTGCTTCCAAGGTGAGCCTGGGGCTCCCCACTCAATCCACCCACTGCCCACAATTCATGCTCGCACTCTGTGCGGGGGCAGGCTGTTCCACACCGCGGTGCCTCTGCACATTCTGTCCTCTCTGCGTGGAATGTGCCCCCTCCTCACCCCTCTTCCCTCTCCACCTGAACAACTCTTCCTCATCCTTTAAGGCTCTTGCCCTGGGTGAGGGCAACCCTGAGTGCTGTGGGGAGTGTTGACCGTGGCCTTTTGTGCCCAGGTGTGGTTCTTGTGTTCCTCTGGCATAACATCGAACAGGGTGCACTGCGTCTGAGTCATTATGTCCGTCTCTCCACCAGACCCAGCTCCTTAAAGGCAGTTTCCTTTTGCATCCCCACACAGTCTTGCAGAAGATCATCCACGGCTTCTAAATAAACATGGGTGTTCCCTTCAGGGGATAGACTACGCCGCATTTTCTCATCCTTGTAGGATGCCTTCTACAACGCTGGGTGTGCGGTTGGCTCGCACGTGCTTCCGGTGTGGTTTAGCGACAGAATGGAAAAGCCACTGTGGGCAGCAACCTGGTGGGACCTGTGAGCTGACACTAGCAGTTCCATTAGTGAAATGACCAAGGAAATAAACTTCCCTGGTGCTTTTCCTCTATGACTCAGGTGTTTCTTTTCTTTCATCATCTTCTTCTTTTTATTGATCTCAGAGAGAGGAGGTGGGGGGGGGGAGAGAGAGAGAGAGAGACATTGATGTGAGGGAGAAACTTTGATTGGGTGCCTCCTGCACTCACCCCAACTGGGACTCAAACCTGACCGGGAATCAAACCTGTCACTTTCTGGTGTACGGGACGGACACTCAGCCAACTGAGCCACAGCAGCCAGGGCTCAGGTGTTTCTTAAATGAGATTTAATTGAGGTCAGGGAGGGGGTCAGAGGTCTTGCTAGTGAAGAAGTGAAGAGAGAGAAAGGGGGAGCCCCTGGCCTGGGGTTCTGCAGCCCCAAATTCTGAGGTGAAGGTGGCAAAGGGGCCAGGACTAAGACACTGGTAGAGCTGTCCATGTGTCAGGTTCCCTCCTGCAATCGAGAGTGGGGGGCACTTTGGTGCTGGTTGATGGGGTCTGTAAGAGAGGTGTCAGCAGGCACCAGCTCTGGGACCCCAGGCTGAGGCTGACCGGGCCCATCCTCCTGGGAAGTGACCCCCTGGCTGGCCTTGCTGCTGCTTAGGAGCCACTGCAGCACCGGACCAGCCTCTTTCAGGAGGAGAAGGGCAGCCTTACTGTGAGGCTCTCTCTCTTCTCATCTCCTCATTTCCAATCATGTGAGCTTCTCTTTTGTGTCTCTCAATAATGCTACCTGTCACTTGAAGCCAGGTCACAGTCAAAGGAGGATCACTAGAGTTGGAGTCATACCTGGCTTTCCAGACTCCTTTTATACTGTTTCTTCCATTGATATCCAAGGGCCTCAATCTTGTTCTCCAGATCATTTTAGCAGGATTATTTCATCTACTGGCCCCCTCCCTGTCCCCCTCAGAGGCATCCCAAAATTACTCAGCTATTCCGCCCTGCCAGTCTCCTCCCCACATCCCAGACAGCCAGACCGCTCGGGGTTCTGGGGCAGGGTTGGGGCTAGGAGAGACAATGTGAGGAAGCACTCAGTCTCAGTGCTCAGAGTTTCCCTAAATGATGTGCTCCAGGTGTCTCACCTGGGCTTGGTGCTGGGCTGGTGTAATGATAAAAGGATGGGGGGAGAAAAAGAGGTTGAAAGGAGGGTAGAAGAGAAAGTGTTAAGAGGACAAGGTGGGAAATCCAAAGTCAATGGCAAAGTGAAAAATAATGGGTGCAGGTGACAGAGGGCAGTGACTCAAATCAAGCATCCCCACAAAGCTCTCACACACATAGCCCTGGACAGGCCAGACAGATGTCACCCAGAGAACAAGGAGCAATAGGAAAAACAAAACACATTCATCCTTTCTCATGAGGTTTTCTGATTTCCTTGTCATGGGTGGGGTGGGGGTGAAGGAATCCCCAAAGTCATGTTCCCTCTGCTTTTACTCTCTCCTCTGACTTGACATCTTTTTCATTTTTATTCAAGAATTTTTTTTTTTTTTTTTTTAGAGAAAGAGAAAGGGAGAGGGAGAGAGAGAGATAGAAACATCGATGAGAGAGAACATTGATGGGCTGTTTCCTGCATGCCCCCCACTGGGAATTTGGCCCACAATCTGGGCATGTGTGCTGACTAGGAATCGAACCGGTGACCTCTTGGTGCATGGGTCATTGCTCAACCACTGAGCCACACTGGCTGGGCAACATCTTTTTCTTGATGTCATAAACCTTACCCTAGGCATGGTGATTCAGACTCTGCAGTATGGAGCTGGAAGAGCCCTTAGAGGTTGTCCTGCACTGTCCCTGGGGGAGCCACTAGCCACATGGGACTTTTGAGCATTTGCAGTGTGGTTAGCTAGTCCACACGGGCAAGTGCTGTAAGTATAAAATGAACACTGGGCTTTTGAGGACATGGCTTGAAATGAAAGAATGTAAAATAGCACATTAATATTTTTAAAAAGATTGATTACATGCTGAAATGATTATGTTGAGAATCTATTGGGTTAAATACAATATTATTAAAATTAATTCCTGTTTCTTTTTCCTTCTTTTAATGTGGCCGCTGGAAAATTTAACATTACAAATGTGGCTTGCATTGCGGCTTGAATGACATATCTATTGGACAAGGCTGGTCTAGTTTAATTTCCTTCTTTAGCAGAGGAGGAAACTGAGGTCCAGAGAGAAGACTTGACTTGGCAGACCGCACATACTAAATAGCACTGTCATTTTCAATTCCCATCAATTCCTCTGTACCCCCCGCCCCCCCCCCCCACTTGGGGCCCCAGGAAATGAGCTTACAGACCTGTGGGCTGCAGGCCTTAAGGGAAGGGTTCCAAAACTCAAGACATTGGCTGTGGTTTCTTGGGAATGAAGTAAAAATCTAACAAAGGTAGGGATATCCTCTCCAAGAAGTCACATTTAAAGAAGTGGCAAGAAAGCTGGGGAGCCCTGGACCTTCCCCAGTTAATTCATTTGCACAGTAGCACAGGTTGGTTTACCAGCTGTGCTAACCGGCACCTCAGTAGCACAGAGACCCCTCCCCCAAGGCAGTGGGGTAGAGCCATGCCTAAGCTCTGACACTGTGTGGGCAGCCACTTAAGGATTGTTTGACAAGTAAACAAAGACAAGTTTCAGTAGGATTGGCTTGATAATGGAAGAGGAGTGGGCAGCCAGAGGGAGGGGGAACCAGATACCAAAGGCAAATTCCTTTATTTCATAATTTTATCTGGCATCCCCATTCTCCACCTGCATTGTGAGGCTTTAGGAGAGGTAGTTAAGAAAGTAGAGAGATAATGATCTCTCCGCCCCCGAGGCAGCACTAATGGGTCTTCTCTGAGGATAGTACTAACAAGTGGAGCCACCGGCTAACTCTGGACCCCAGGTAAGTTTTCCTTGGCCTCTTGGCCTCTACCTCGCTTGGGCTGCTGTGGGTGGGGTGGGGTGGGGTGGGGTGGGGTGGGGCTCTTTCCCATCCTACTGGGGTGAGAGTCGTGGAGTCGTGGAGAATCAGGGAAGGGCCATTTGGGGGGTCAGCTCTTCATTCTTACTGTAATAAACACGGTAAATAAGTCTGTACACACACACACACACACACACACACACACACACACACACACACACACACACGGTCTGTGGGACCCAGAACTTAAAATAGGCGTTGCAACCTGGCTAGCCCTTGCCCTTGGGGGACAGGAGTGCCAGGCGGTGAGCGCGGGTGTAGCTTCCACTCGGAGGTGGCAGTTTTCAGGACCGATAAGGAGCGGTCCCCGCTGGCCCCTTTCTTTTACCCGGTGCCAGGGGACTAGCCGGTGCGCTGGCCTCAGAGCTGTCTGCTAAGCTGGGCGGGGCCGGGGTGCCCTCCTCCCCATTTCAAGGGTGACTGTGCGGCTGACGTCAGGCAGCGTTTGGTTCATTCCCCGGCGCGGGGACTTAATTTTCATAACAGCATGCAGTACCGTGGAACTGGAATAGGCGTGTCCTCTCCCCCTGACCCTCTCCCGCCCCTTGTCCCTCAGCTCACCTCCTCGCTTGCTCCCTCCCTCCGGCGACAGCCGCCTTTATAACTGCTCGGCGCCGGGAGGGCGGATCGCTTTCGCAGGCCCCCCAGCCCCGAGCCGCTCACGGCTGCCTCGGACGCGCGGGAAGCAGCGCGAGTTCAAGCGCCCAAGCCCAGGCACAGGGTAAGTGGGGCGCACAGAGCCCCGAGCGCGCGCCGCCTCCGGATGGAAATCCTGGGGGCGAGCGCGGTCGGCGGGGGTGGAATACTAGAGAAAAAGCCAGGTAGTGAAGACAGAAAGGGCTTACAAGAAAGAAGTTCCTCTAGTTTAACCCAACTCAGAGTTTTTTCTTCTGCTGCTCCTCCCAAGCTAAGCTAGAGGCGGAGGGCAGAAATGAGCATCAGGTAGTTCCAGACACATTGTGCGCGCTCTTAGTAGGTGGAATCCTGGCTAGGCGGATGGGCACTTCTGGGATCCAGGGGAAGAGAAAAGAGGGAGAAAGGCCTTTGAGGAAGGGAAGGGACTGGAGCCTGGAGCGGAGTGGGGTGGAAACTTGGAAAGGTGGTTTGGAGGAGAAAGATGTTGACACTTGTTACTTTACCCAGTTACTGAAAAGTTTCCAATTATTTTGTTTTTCCACAAGCGAATTTTGGGAAGTAGTCATAGAAGCCCCTTCTCTTGATGTGAGTGGGGGGCCGTGAGCCCCACAGTATTCCCTCCACAGCTGTCCACTGAGTTACTCAGGAACCCCGGCATGTTCAGTAACAGCCCACCTTCCACAACAAGGAAATAGGACTTGGGAATGGCCCCAAAAATGCCCGGCAGGGCTCGGACAACATCCGAAGCGGGGAAGGAAAGGCCAGCACATGGGGGAATCTGCTCAGGTCCAAGGACTTTGAAGGACTTTTCATTCCTGACTTCTTTCCGGGCTGATTTCTCCTCAGAGGGTTTGTAAATGCTACACCTGCTGAAGCTTCCCCTGCATCACCCACTGCGGTGGGCTCATTCCTGGAGGGGAATACTTGAACCACTTCAGATACAATGGCCTGGGGCCCATGGAGGGGTGAGGATGGAGTCAGAGCTCCGCTCTCCAGTGCTGTGTGTGGATTGCTACTTGGAGAGGGAAGGAATGAGGGGGAGAAAGGGTCAGGAGGTTTTACTTGGGAGACTGAAGGGCTCCTCCTCAGTGTGGAGAGGTGTGTGCTCCTAGGGCAAATGGAAAGGAACCGAACATTCCTGGGAAGTGCTCTCAACTTGAGTCAGGAAGCCTGATTTCTCCTCCTGACTCTGCAGGTCCATTGGCTGTGAGGAGGGAAGGACCTGGGCCTTGAGTTCCTCTTAAGGGGTCTTGTGAAGGCACCTAGCTCCTTCCCAGGCTGAGGTTCCAGCCCTTCTATATCTGCATATGTCCCCTGGCAGTACTCTGTGGAGTCTGAGCCTTTGTCTACTGGGAATTGAAGATAACAGGGTGTGAAGAAGAATTTTGACTGTGTGGTTTTATTTTTCCTATTCTGGGAGTTGGTCTTCAGGTCCACTGCTATTTAAAAATCTACAGACTGAGCTAAGGAAATGGGCAGGAAATGATGTGTTGGTATAATAGGACCTTTAACAACAATGAAGTGAATAGTGTTCTCGCTTGAAGGGTCTCAGATTTTCTGAGTAGTTTGGTGTGTTTCTACTCTTATTCCTATTTTTATTGCTTTGTGATCAGAATATATAGTCTGTACATTTCTTATTTTAGGATTTCAGGTTTTATTTGTGGCCTAAAATATGCTGTTTTAGTACATGTTCCAGGACCATTTCCATAGAAGCAACCATATAGAGCAGGGGTCAATAAACTTGGTCCATGGCCAAACATATTCATCAGCCTGTTTTTGTAAATAAAGTTTTATTGGAACACGGCCATGCTCATTTGTCTATGCGTTATCTATGGCTGCTTCAGCTACACACATATGGACTGCAGAGCCTAAACTACTTATTACCTGGCCTTTTAAAAAAAATGTTTGCTGATCACAGATACAGAGGATCTGAATCATTTGATTTCTTCTTTTTTTTTTTTATCCTCACCCGAGGACATTTTTCCATTTTTTGTTCAGGTAGAGTGGGAGGGAGAGAGAGGGACAGAGAGAGAGAGAGAGAGAGAAACATCGATGTGAAAGGGACACATCGAGTGGCTGCCACCCGCACAACCGACCAGGGCCGGGGACAAACCGCAACCGAGGCACGTGCCCTTAGCGGGAACCGAACCCGGGTCTCTCAGGACTGCAGGCCGACGCTCTAACCGCTGAACCAAACTGGCCAGGGCCTGAATCATTTGATTTATGATGGAGATCTAGCCCTGGCCAGTGGCTCAGTTGGCTGGGCATTGTCTCATGCAATGCTGGTTTGATTCCCAGGCATGGCACATGCCCCAATTTCAGGCTTGATCCCCAGTAGGCCTCATATAAGAGGCAGTCAATAGAGGTTTCCCTCTTACCTCATTGATGTTTCTGTCTCTCCCTCTCCCTAAAAATCAATAAAAAAAAATCTTAAAAAAGTAATGGAGATCTAATACTATATAGAGAATATTTCGATTAAAGTATCCATCGAACATATATAAAAATTGACCATATTATTATTCATTTTTTTCTATTTAATTTGCTGAGGACTGATAAAGAGGTATTAAAGTCTCCTATAACTAGTATTTCTTTTGATTTCTCCTTGTATTTCTGGTAGTTTTGTTTTCTGTGTTTTGGTGTTATGTTATTCAGTGCATAAAAGTTTATGATGGTTGCCCTGGGTGGTATGGCTCAGGGTAATTACGTCACCCTTGGACCAGAGAGTCCTGGGTTTGATTCCAACCAAGGGCACATACCTCGGTTGCAGTTTGTCCCCGGCCCTGTTTGGGGTTGTGTGGGTGACAACCAGTCGATGTGTCTCTCTCACATCGATGTTTCTCTCTCTCTCTCTCTTTCTCCCTCTTTCCTTCCAGTTCTATCTTAATGTAAAGATATCCTCAGGTGAGGATTAAAAAAAAAGTTTATGATGGTTGTATCTTCAATGTGAAGTATCCCAATTATTATAATATAAACTTTTTGCCTTGACTACACTTGCATGATATTAATACCTCAACTCTTTCTTAATTGTTTTACCTTGAGTACGCTATTTAACTTTGTACCAACACATAATACCGGCTAAACACACATTATCTGTTATTATTGCTTTTTTTGCATTTGTTTCAATTTTTTTCTTCCTTTTGCATTCAACTTTTTAAAATCCTGTTGTTTTAAGTGAGGTTTTTATAGGTATAGTATAGTTTCATTTAGTCTTTTTTCAAACTAAAAAGTTGTAATTATTACAATAAATTACATACAATAAATTACATTTATTGTAATAATAGTTGCTTGCTATTGTCATCTAATTTCTGGGCATGTATTCTGCTTTCTCAATCCTCTCCCACATTAGATAGTCTATATTATATTTTCAGGGCTACTAGGCCACGCAGTGAATGGTAGTGCCATTCTCAGGGCTTAGAAATATAGGTTGTAAGGAAAGATGACAAATTTAGCTTGGGGCTTGTTGGATGAAACATTAATATGTTACTGTTATATATGAAAATAAAATATTTAAAAAATGGTGTCTTTGAGAGCTTTGAGATGGAATACCAGTAGAGGATTTCACTTTATCCAACAACCTATTTTCCAGAATTTTAATTTCTTAAAATTCTGGGCCTAAGAGATTTGAAAGTTTCACTCTAATTCCTAAGTGTTTTTTAAAAATGATTTTCAATATTTTTATTTTATATTCCAGTAATTTATTTTACATTAATCTAAAGTTCACGTGCTTTGTTTAGAATAGAGAAGGATGATAGTAGCCCCAGGGGACTCCTCGAAAGGGAAGCGATTGGGATGAACACTGTTGTCACACTTGTTTAGAGCTGCCTATGGTAATACGATGGCTTATTTTCTCTCAGTTACTGCGCAGAAACTCAATTCAGTGATGTTATTCAGATGTTATTCATAGGCCGTTGCCATGATGCGTCACTTTTATGTCATCAGAATACGGATGGCTACTCAGAACCGAGGATCCAGAGATTTTCCTGGAGACTCTTTCCACTTGTAACTAATCCTCCATCCAGGGCAGAGAAATTTCTGGGGGACTCCACCCTTGTCTTAGAACTCAGCCTAGATAAAAATATGAGGATTAGCACATAGTCATCTTAAAAAATTCTCCCTCCCCATTACTCACACTTGCTAAAAAATAACCTGCTTTGAGTAAATATTCAGCAGTCATTCTTATTCCAAACATTTTTCCAGCAACTGCTGTGTAGAACACATAGTGAGGGGTACTGACAAACAGAAGGTTTGCTCTATTTCTTTAATCCTTAAGAAGCTCGTTTTCTGTT